AGGCAAGATCCGTTTTTGCCAGATGTCAAGGCTGAAGCACAAGCAGCGGCAGAGGACGCGCCGCTGCGAAGCAAAGCTCGCAGTTCGTGCAGCAAGTTCCCCTTTGGCGGCCATGAACAAGGTGTCATTTCCCCAGGGCCCTTCACATTCAGGCCACCAAACAAGGGGCTAGGGGCCTTGCCGGAAGATCAATCAGCCGATTCCAAACACGAGCTCGTCTCCTCGCTTTTGGCCTTCATTTAAAGCTTCAGTTCTGTTGTGGTGGCTTCAAATTATATCAGAGCAAACATGCGACCAGCGTGTTGTTCCGAATTGGGAAAGGTGCGAACATGCGGAGTCACTTTGAGAAATTGTCGTGCCCTGAGCGGTGACCTCTACGGTCAGTGCTTAGTTCTGGCAGATGCGCTTACGGTGCAAGGCAATAATTAATTGTAGTGAGCGCGGCACCACGTGTATGTTTTTTGTTCATAGATCTGTTGCCAAGAACCCTTGGAAGGCGTTGCAGCCGCTGAAGAGAGAAGTATAAACCTGGGAAAGGCCTAAGGCAAGTGAAAAATCCGGCAAAGAAAAGACAGCTGCTAAGTAGTTCTTTTTTTGGTGGGGGGGAGGAGGGTTGAGATGGTGCCCCAACAGTTGTATGTCATCTTTAAGGAGAAACCGGTTGACGTCAAAGATGGTGCCCTTACTAAGCTTGAAGCCACGTTATCCTTTGCGGGAAGGTCACTGCACATATTGGCTTCTCGCAATTGCAGACAAATCCTTTTGTTTCCTCTAGCGACCCACCTGGAAGGGGGTTGCTTCCCTCAGCAAGCAACTGAAAGGCACTTTTTGGGGAAGAGGGACGACACCTCAGATCGGGTTTTGCGCGGATTGCACAGATACTCCCTGGATCAGCAGCAGATGGATGTTTGGGGATGCTGCCGTAGAAATTATATGTAACTTTTCATGTACCTTCAAGTGCTACTCCTGCAGGAGCGGCGGTGGTGTAAGCTAACCAAGGTGCTCAGTTGCAAGCGCGAATCGACCTTGCACCCGTGGCCCACCTTGATTAATGCACTTTTGTTGGGTCAAAACTTGAATGCTATTTTACCAATCTCTTGAGCCAAGCGTGTCGCGCATGATGGCTGCAAGCACGGTGGTTCTACACGCTGCCCCTTGAAGTTGCGTCAGGTGCCACCAACAGTCACAATCGGAGCTGTCCCAGTCATCGCCATTTCACTTGGAAGCCAGCATGCAGCATGTTTGAAATCATCTGCAGCCAACTTTCGGCCCCCAAGCACTTGGCACCCCGAACGCTTTGTCAGCAAACGCAACCCGTGGATATCGCTACGTCCTTCTCACTGCACACGGAATCAACGCCCAGACCCGTAAGCCATGGAGCATCTTGTGCAAGGCTTCCAGGACAGACCCGTACTGCATGACGCTCTATCAACAATGGTGACCCAGATGCCCAGTGGTGCGTTGTTCTCTTTTTTTCGGGGGTCCCTGAGAAACCAACGGAAGGGAAGAGTGCCATGGAAATGCGGGATTTTGCCCCACAGGATCTTGCCCAGACACGTTTGACAATTTCATTTTGAAGGGCGCGCCCCACTGAATGTCTGAGCATCTGGGTAGTTCCACTATTGGAGGGCCCTCACCATTAGATCTGGGTCGGCCGTGACGGCCAGGGGCAAACAAATACGATAGGGGTTCCCCAAAGCTCGTCCCTTGGGTTTCTCCTTTCATTACCTTCTGAGACCCTTGAAAAGGGCCTGCGTTTCTTTGAGCAAATCAGTTTGTCTGATTTCAAGCGAACTTCCAGAAGTGATGCTTTTGGGTTAGCGTGTTATGATTGCAATTGCCCTTGCAGGCCCACGTTTCGTTGCTTTATGTCCTCTTTCCTTTCCTTTTTCCTTTCTTCTTTCTTTCCTCTTGCTTCTCTCTTCTCCTTTTATTCCATTTCCTTCTTCCAATTGCTTTACTGATGCTTTCAATTGTTTCCTTTCAATTGCCTTGCTTTCAATTGACTTTCCTTCAGTTGCTTTCATTTCAATCGCTTTCCTTTCCAACGCTTCTTTCAATTCCTTTCCTTTCCTTCCTCTCCCTTCCTTTCCTTTCCTTGTGGCCCATGAACAGGAGAGTGGCTCCTAGGCTCCCAACGCATATTTTCACAACTGCAGTGGTGTGAGCGGTTTCCAGGGCTGTGATTTTTGTTCAGTTTCCGTTTTGGTGATTTGAAGGACAACCAGCGACAGACCCCCGTTAGCAACCGTTGACCCAGCGCAGGCCTTTTCCACTTCAACTGTCGTCCCTTCACAAGAGGAACAGCTACAGAGCCTGGGAGGCCGAGGGGTCACTGGATGGTCGTTGGGCCATTGAACGTCATGCTGACTAGTTGGTCCTTGGACAGCTCACAAACCTGCGCCCATATCAGGGGGGTCACCACTTTCAAGTCTAACCCTTCTGAAAGGCCATACTTTTTGGGGGTAAGTCAACATGGCAATGAAGGAAAAGGCAACTTGCCCTTTGTCCGTTGACTGTTGTGAAAGTGGAACTCATCCAAAAGCACAAAAACAGAGGCTTCAAACTGGTTTGTCCCACATGAAGCCTTTGTATTGTGTGGGTGAGTTTGTTTGCTGTGGGGAGTTTGCGAGGTGGGGGCTGCATTTTTTCTTTTCTCCAAGTTGAAGTAATGGATTCAGAAAAGGCAAGATCATACGAGCATGCAATTTCTCCTGAAGGGTGCCCCTTACCCTTGGTTTTCTGCGCCGAACTGTGGTTCTTCGAATTGAGTCCCAGAAAGTCATATTGGCAAGGCGGAGAGTGGGAGAATTGTGTGATTGTATCAAACGCCTGAGAAGCCTTGTTTGCTCCAAGGGCCCGAAACACTGGCGCTGGTCGGAGATCATTTGCCCTTGCAAGCAAGGTCCGAAAAGAGGGGTGTAGGGCACATTTAAACGAGTTTGAACCACTTTTCCCGCGACATTGGCGCTAGCAAGGGTTCGGGGAGAGATGAGAGATGCACGGGGCATGTCTAAGCATGGTTAAACCAGGTCTGTGAAGATCACCTTTGCGGGGTAGATCTTCAGGGGAAAGAGCGCACGAAGTCACTTCCCTATGTGGTGATGGGTCTCGCAGTTTTCACCACGAAGCGGGCGGCGTAGCCAGGTGGCCATGCATCGATGCGATACCCGATCGGAGTGGTTGATAATGTGAAACGGCAGTGGCATGTACATGCATGTTGCATGGATTGCAACTTACACAGGTGTAAAAGTGAAATTCGGCTATGCGCCCTCAGTTCACAATATTTGGAGGCCGTGAGGTGCATGTTCGGCAGGCGTAGTGTTGCAGGGTCGCGCCCTTCTCGCCGAGGTGACAGCTGGGCAGTTGCCGATGCCATGCTCCTCCACATGCGGTGACGCAAACGTCTTGCTCAGGTCGGCGTTGAAGCTGACCTTGCGGTCTGAGGTTCAGGGCATCATAGGTCTGCTCGGCCAGTCGCCTCTGTTGACGGCGAGTCTGCCGCCGTCCCCTGATCTCATCATTCAGGGCCTGGATCTCGTTGGCAGCGATCGCAAAAGCCTCGGACATGTTGTCTGTCTGGGCGTGAGTGTCGCGGCTCTCGGTGGAGGTTATGGTGCTCAGGTGTTTGCGGCTGAAGTTGAACTCGTACTTTGTGCTCAGCCACCACATGAAGCTGATCGTCCCGATGATGAGGGTGAGCATGAAGGTGATGAGGGTCATGTCCATGACAGAATTCACGCCTTGCCGGTACTCAATCAAGGCTGATGTGGTTGGCAGGCGAGGGCAGTTGCGGCCTTTTGGCAAGGGCGCGAACCTTGTTGCGCTTGATGGCATACAGCTCAGAGAACTCCTTTCTTTCAGTGGCTGGCTTGCGCTTGGCTGCATGGTATGTGTTGTCGGCACGGATGCGAACAAGATGTGTTCTCATCCGATCTACCAGTAGTTGTGCGGCTTGTGGCTTGGTTAGGGCGTCGGCGTATTGTCTCTCACTGGAGACCCACTTGGTGGTTGCGTTTGAGCTTGTCTTGGATCACCAGGGACTGGATGGCGGTCCCCAGACTCACCTGCACATCGTTGCGGGAGAGCAGGTCGTACACGGCCTTCGCGTCAATAGGCCAGGGAGTCGGCAGCATCCGAGGCAGCTTGTGTTTCAGCAGACAAGCTGGATCTGGCAACTCGGGTAGCTTCCAGCTTCGCCAGCCGAGGTTGTACTTGGTTCACTGCCAGGTAACCTCCTTGACGATGAAGGAAACGTCCTTGTGCTTGCCCAGCTTGCGGAACTCGAGGCCCACGTCGCCGCCACAGCCGAGGATGTCCTCGACGTGGACGCCATCCAATCCACCCAGCTCAGGTTCTGCTGCATGTTGGATGGCTCCGTCTTGCAGCATTCGCTTCGGGGATACGCGGGTACGTATTAAGGCGGAGAGTTTGGAGCAGTGCATGATTATAACAAACGCCTGAGAGGAATCCTTGGTATCTTCATGCCCCGCTCCTCGATTTTCTCCAAGGGCCGTTGGCCGTCAGTTAGGCATTTTCTTGGGAAGCCGCGTTGGAGCAGAGAGGTTGGGGAAGCGTGGAAGAGAGTCAGAAACACATATTTTCTGCGTGCCCTTTTTCATGTGGTTCAAAGGAGTTGTGACACCTTGACTTCGACTGAATATCGGAGTTGCTGGCTCCAGGGAAGGTTTGGAACTTGTTTGGGTTGCTTAAGCATTTTCAAGTGTTTCCCAAAAGTGTTCTCGAAACACTGGTGCTGGTCAGAGGTCATTCCCCTTGCAAGGTCCAAAGAGAGGGGTGTAAGGCACGTTTAAACGAGTCTGAACAGCTTTAGCTGTTTCCCACCTATTTGCTGTTGCGAAGGTCCAAGAAAAAAACGCGCGCAATGTTTCAGCGTGTTTAAACAAGGTCGAACCGTTCCCACGACAGTGGGGCTAGAGAGGGTCCGAGGAGAGATGAGAGATGCACGGGGCATGTCTAAACATGTTTAAACCAGGTTGTTTAAAAAGTCTTCAAACACAATTAAGCCAACTTGTTCAAACATGTGTAAACGTTTCCCGCAACAGTGTGCTTCATTTTGAGAAGTAGGGTGAAGGGGAGAAGCGTGTGCTTTTAAACAAAGGCGTTCAAACAGCTGAGCCAAAGGCGTTTGCGCTGTTTAAGCTGTGAGCAAGGACGACAACGAGGACCCCCTTCTTGCGTTCTATGATCGGTTGGCTTCTCGGCTTTGTGGCCAGGCCCCTCACACGAGCTGGGAGGCTGCCAGGCTGGACACGGGGGATGCGTGTGTTTTTGGTTGAACACACCATGCTCGAACTAGCGGAAACCAGATTTTACGGGGGCCCCCAATCTCGCGAGCCCGGCCTGCCCTCTGACAGGACCAAAGATATGCCAAAGAGGTTTGGTTGCAGAAGCGGGTCACCTTTTCAAAGATGGTGGCTTCTTGATTTGAGCGGGTTGCCGGGTTGCCGCACTTTCCCAAACTACATCCTTTTTGCCTTAGAAAGTAGAATCATTGCCCCTAAAATGACCAAATCATTTAGACATCCTGGTCGCAAAAAAATGCAAAGCATCTCTTCTGCACGTAGCGGATTTATCAGAGGGAAAGCCAAAGGCCACGTTCCGAGCAGAATCCGAGAGCCATTTATGCAACGTTGTGAATGCCATTGCAGTGGTTAAATGAGCGACACGCAGGATTCACTTTCTACAGTAATGTGCGTGTGTGCTTGCGTTGTACTTGTTGTCTTCCTCTTCAAGAATCACGGGGCGATGATGCCCCATTGTCCCTTGTGGTTAAGTTGTAAATTGGTAAATCGGGTTTCCGCAAAAACCGCGGGTTTTCCTCAAAAAGTCGGACCTACGTTTTTACAGGGCTTTGGTTTCTGAGTTTCATGAAATGGCGAACTAGCCAGCTTGCCCACGACAAAACCAACTGGACGCACGGACGGACTGGCTGACCAATGACTGGGCGCTGTCATGCTGTCAGGATGTTGGGATGGGTGTCAGAAGCGGGGCCAACGCTGTTGGGATGAATGTGACCGATCTTGACCGATTTTATCTGCCGTCCCCAGCCAAATGCTGAAAGTTACGCCAAATCGACTGAGTTTTGCCGAATGTCGCCACGGAGCGAGAACAGGACTTCAGATACCAGCTTCGAAAGTATGTTTGCTCTAGGCGCAACTCACTGAAACTTTCCAAAACCTGGGTTCCTTGTATGTTTGTGTGTTTCCCTGTTGTTTACTAGATGCAGGAGTGCACGTGCTTAATTTTCATTCTGAGTCAAAAGGCGGCGGATGATTCGCTAGACGTCGCGAGGAATATGGGTTTGTCTCAAATAGGGGAACCCCTAAAATGTTTGGTTTCCTTTGGTTTCCCGGTAAAAACCACAGAAAAGGGGTATCCTCAGAGAAAGACATCCATTTGGTATCCCAAGCGCACCATGCTAGATCGGAAGCCGATGGTTGGCAGCTACAAGCGTTTCTACGTAGGGGGTGGGGGAATCCAATCGCAACAACATCCAGGCTCAGACGAAGTGGGCACAGGCAAACGATCAAACGATGGAGCGCTAGTAATATAGGTTTGGCGCCATTTTTCCAGAATCAGCTACGCCTGCAGTTAGACACCATCATGTGCCCGTTTGTCCTCAAAGGGGGTGCCTATTTAAGGCACGTTCTGATGGAGCGCCCCCCAGCAGCAACAGTTCTTCATGGTCCTTGCCATTGAGGGCTCCCTTGTTTCTTTGTTTGCCAGGGTCAGTTGGCAAACCTGTCTGCGCGGGACTTATGGCTATATGACTTAGAGGGAAATGATGGCGCATCTCATCCACTTGATGGGCAAAGAAGTGGAGTGCCAGGCCTTTCGTGAAAAGCCTTGCCGCTGTCCATTTGCTCGCGCGTGTGTGCGCTCATTTCCAGCACAGAGTTGCAAGTTCTGACCGTGCTCTCAATTGAACCCTGGGATTACACTTGGAAATTGCCCCAAACTGGCAACCGCAACACCCAGGTTTATATTAGCAGAAATATCTATCGCTTAAAAGCTGCCAAGCGGGTTCCAATTCCTCCCGTCACTGTGCAACCCGGGTCAGGACAGCAAGGTGGAAGAACTACGGATTCAGGCAAGGAGTCAATGGAGCGCTTGCCGTGAGAGCTATAAACATTGCCGAAAGTTGGCGGTCGCTGCTGTTTGAGTGTCCGGGAGAAACCGAAGCAGCTCAACTCGCATGAATCACGCAACTCGGTTTTGAAACTGATCAACTCACTGCGCCCTCTGGTGGATCCAATTTTGATGCTTTCATGTGCCTTTGAGTTCGCGCAATGTTGGCGCCTAGCATGCCACTTCCACAACAGAGAACATGACACCCAGCGACAAAACACAGCGTCCGAACGGCTAGGCAAGGGGAGTGCTGATACCCAATCACTCAGTCGGCCAATCGGCCATTTGCTCCTGTACATCCAGGCATCGAACCATGCATGTACCAGTCGTGCCGGCCGTGAATGTCGGACCATCGTTCGTAAGCAAAGGCGAGCATCTGTTTAGTTAACCTTTCACCTTGGCATACGGGTGTGGCTCAAAATTTAAGAGCTAGTGGACCGCAGGTTTTAGTTTTAGTCTACTTTTTCATTTTTCAACGTTCCATGTCGGGCCGATTCCTATGTTTGAGCCACACCCATGTCTATTTACAGTTCTCTGTTTTCTGTCACGCCCGTCAGCGCCCTAAGCGCACATGCAGCATTCCGAGGACACTTCGAGGTTAGGTTGGTGCTGCTGTTTCTGGAATTGGGGGCTGCTGCAAACGATGAGTGACAAGATCTCCACTAGAAAGAGCTTGTTTATATAGCATGCTTCCCAAGTCAAAATACCGGACAGTGTGATAGGAGCCAGAAATAATTGGTACCCGTATTGCTTCCAAATAGTTTCCACTAAGTACCCCAACTGGTCCCATTTTCGCGCAGGCCGCCAAGGCCACCCCCTCATTCCAGATGCCAGACAAGCCGGCGTTCAAGTTCACCCCGCTGGGCACTTGAGACGTGTCCACTTTGATCTATAGCTTGCCTCTCGACTGTGCCGGTTTCGTCACTCGCCTTGCTGGCTAGGCTTCCAGGCCCAAACTGGGTTCCTTGCAAAGATGGGTGTGTCTTTTTTAGAGGGCCTCCAAATTGTGGTTTTCCTTTTGCTTGAGGGGTACCCTCAAAAAGAGACACCCGTGTCACTTCAGTTCTCGCCAAAGGGCCGCTTCGGGCCCACTGAGGTCTGTGGGGTCGTGGCTCCAGAGCAAGCCCCCTCAGGCAATGTTGGGCTTTGCTTGTGGTTTCAGCAAGACCCTGGACCCCATGTACAGGGCCCCTCAATCACCTTGGAAAGACACGGCCGTTGGATCCGAATCGTAGATTGTCCACTCCTGCAAGGGCAAAAGGGAAAGACTTGCCCACACAGTTCCTTTCGTTTTCGTTTTTCCACCCTTTTTCAATGGGGTCCAATGCAAGCCCATACTTTGGTGAAGGGGGAACCCTGACCGGAGTACTTCGTGTCCGGTGGTGCCCGCGCAGGCAGAGGACGCCAAGGCGCCGGCGCGCGCGCGAAGTGGGTACAGCTTTGACAAAGGCTGACAGATGGAGTCATGGGTCAAAGACAATCATGATACTCCAAAGAAGGTGCTAGGAGCTACTCCCCAAAGTGCGCATTGGTTTTGGTTCGCTGAACATGGCATGAAAGTTACATTACCCTGAAAGTTTGACCCCCCGTAAAAGCGGCCAGTGCAACAATCGACTGGAAGAACCAAGGTTGTTGTTTTTTTCCACGAACAGCAGCGGATTAGCCAACTGCAACCGAAGGCGGTGAAGGATCTGCAGGCGGCCATTGCTGAGAAACGGTTTCTCCTTTTGGTAGCCCTGAAAACTGAACCTGCTGGGACCCTTGGGGAGGCTCTACGTTTTTCTTTGAGCAAATCAGTTGGTCTGATTTCACGCGAACTTCCAGAAGTGATGCTTTGGGGCAACGTGTTATGATTAAGTTATGATTGCCCTTTTGTTTGACCCCTTGCAGGCCCACAGTTCATTGCTTTATGTCCTTTTCCTTTCCTCTTTCTTCAGGGGTCCCTATATTTCCTTTTTGAGAAAAGTTTGCGGGCCTCGGGAAAAGTCTTGGGTCGAGTTATTCCCTTGCGACAATTGCAGCAGACCTCAAAGCCTCCGGGCCCTCGGTTTTCTTCCAGGCACGCAAGCGCTTCGCAATAAGGCAGGTTGCCCTGTCATTGGGGACCTGCTCACTTTGGTTGCAGACATTCGCATCCTTTGCAAGGGGATACCGTCGAGTCACAGTGGACTAGACGGAGGTTTCACAAAGAGCGCCTTCGGGCGCCGCGCTAAGGAGCACGGACTCGGGCTGCGCTCACGTGCAGTCCGAAGAAAGAGACGGCCGGTTTTAATCGTCGCCTTTTTGGCCCATGGAAGCTCAGGGGAATAGGGAGCCCTGTTCTTCTCTCTTCTCCTTTTATTCCCTTTCCTTCGCTTCAATTGGTTTGCTTTCAATTGCTTCCTTTCAATTGCTCTGCTTTCAAACGACTTTCTTTCAATTGCTTTCCTTTCAAGCGCTTTCCTTTCAATTCCTTTCCTTGTCTGCCCCTCCCTCCTTTCCTTTTCCCTTCCTTTTCTCTTTTCTTCTCTCTTTCCTTCCCTTTTCCTTCCCTTGCTTTTTGAAACCACACAAACCACACCGCGAGTTTATGGTCTATCCACCGAAAGTCCGAGGGTTGCGCGTGCAAAGTGAAAACACGAAAAGGACGCCGAGTTGCTTGCCGCATGCTGCGCAGGAGGCACCTACGTATTGGACTCTGTGGCGCACAGAGGAGGGCAAGAAGCCCAGTGCAGTTGTAGTCATTGAGGCACGCTTTTACATATACTTGGAGCTCGAGCACTGTTCAACGCGCTGAAGCTTGGCAGCTTCTGACTGCTTGCTCCCAGGTAAATTTTACTTCCACAACGAAGACACCGACAAGACCGCCTGGGATCTTCCTCCTGGTGGCGTGGCGTGGGCCGCAGCCCCCCATCTGACAGCCACATGTCCAGGGGTGGGTGGGGCCTGAATTTCAGTCATTTTTATACTATGGTTACAAATTCAATCCCTCACAAACTATTTATTTTAAGGCTACGTTTGTCCCATATTGATTGCTGTGGAACAACTAAGATCGCACATGTTGAGTTTGTTCTACTCCTTCCTTGCATTCGGCACGACCTTTGAACGCATGTTCCTCTGAAGAAGCACGTGTTACTCGTTTGGTGTCACAATGGCGCCAACGGTATTGTGGAGCTGATTTGTAGATGAAAACGCAGGTTCGCAAGAGGCATACCTGTGGCTTCCTGGAGGGTGCATTTTTCTGCTGCTTGGTTAACAGCAAAGTTTTCCCCATCGAGATGGCATGCTTTTTGGCGAAACGACATTTTGCGGCAATTTTACCCGTCTCATTGGGCGACCTTCGGAGTGGCATGCTTTGAAATGGCCGTTTTGAAGACAAACGGCGCTTTCGTTCTTCGCGAAGACAAATGTCTTTTCGCAAGCGGCAAAAAACCACCTTCCGGAAGTCGCAGGTATGATCATACTATCTGTAGCACACGCGTGTCACAGCGGCACAAGAGGAGTGATCTTGCTTGAGCATCGGTCATCCAGTTGGGGCACACATTTTTTCCGGGTGTTTTTGCGCTTGAACACATCGGCCCCCGACATGACAAATCCCATGTGCACATGGTGGCGGAATCGCTTCGCTGTGCAGGTCTATTTGGACGAGGCCTGGTCCAGCCCGCTTCTGGAGGGGTGCGTACTGGTTTTGGTCCAAGTTGGTGACTTGTTTTGATCCTCATGTTTGCTTTCTTGCACGGCCGCGCCAGATATGTGTGCGGCGTTAGAGCAGCGTGTTTCGCGAGACCAGCAGTGACAGGTGAAAGTGACCCAGCAAGCGAGGGTCGAAGAGTGTGCTTCCCGACCCCCTCATCCCCGCCTATGTTTGCCAGTAAAATCAAGAGAGTGTTTTTCCGACTCCACCTCAAGCCCCGACTATGTTGAGGTAACGACCAAAATGAAAAGGCCAATGAGCAAAAGCACGCAAACGGGGAGAAATCGGCGACCCAAATGTGTGAAAGCTTCTTGAGTTCAATGTCCAGCTGGAGGACGCGCTCTCCATGTTCTTGGAGCAGGACCTCCGCCCGGGCACGGAGGAGATCCTGGCGTGGCGACGGGGGTGGGGGCCAGGCCCTTAGGCCCGCTCATCGCGTAGCGCGCCCTTCACATGCCCCATAATGCACCATCCAATCCCAGTACAACACGATGCAACCTTCTCCAGACAACCTGCTTCAGTCGTTTATGTGGATCAGAAACTGCAATTGAACAAAAGCAATTGTTCAATTCAATGAGCCAATCCGCTGGGATTGAACATCCGGATGACATGTTCAATCCTAGCACCCCTTAAGAGACGCCTTCAGAAGTTGAGCCACAAGCGCAAATCAATTCGGGACAGATTCGTGCACTGAACCTCTTGCTCAGGCAGTGGTGCTCCCCGCCACCCTCGGCGGTTATCCGGGACTCACGCACAGAGCGGCGCCTTGGCGGCGTGAGAGGGACGCACATCGCCGCGCGATTGCTCAAGCAACCCGATTTTTGAAGCAGCCATATCCTTTCTACCTTTTGCCCCACCTGTGTGCATCTTCGTGGCACAAATCCAAGGTCCCTTGCAGTGTTTGGCCATCCATGTTTTGAACAAAGTAGTCGTGCAAAGACCCCCTCCCCCAACCACCCTGGAACTGAGCAAAGGGGTGCGGACAAATGGATTTGGGCACTGTTGGGTTTCCATTTCGTGTCCCTTCAGAGATAAAACGGCTCCAGGACCCATATCTAACAGAAACCTAAATTTAAACAATCGCAACAGAGACTCCACGCACTTTCTACTTTTTTGCGGGCCTAAACATCCTTGAACAACCAAGCGGAACTAGCGGGAGCTATGCGAGCGCGTTGAATCCTGCATGAACAACCAAGCGGAAATTATAGCGGGAGCTATGCGAGCGCGTTGAATCAGAAAACAGCATTGGACTTAGAGTGCATAGGGCGCATGGGATGTTCAATGGTTTCCAGAGTGTTTCCAAAGTGGAAAGCATTTGGCCTGTTCTTTCTCTTCTGAGCCTTGGGCAGTTCCTCAATGGCAGCGAGCATGATGGCAACTTCACGAGACTTCTCAAATTTGAAAGGGCATGTGAAGCCTTGAACTTGTTGTTTGCAGGAATGGACACTCCCCCCAAGTATCCGCTGAGCGAATCAAAGCCAGGTGGTGAAGAATAGTCGGATCGTTGGCAATGAGCTAGGTGCAGAAAGCCTTCGGCCCTTTTGACTCTTTACCATTGGGTTTTGGGCGGAACTGTTCAAGTCACCAGGCCTCGATTGACCCTTTCTTTGTTGATAGCAGGGAGGAATGCCTGCTAAGACTCATTCCCCTTTGCCCCAAGGATCGTTTAGCCCGCCGCTTTGGTTAACGCCGCTCCTGTTGGTTTTGGCTTCGGGCAAGGTCGTTTTCGTACGAGACGAGTCTGGAGGCACCAGGGGCTTTGGCTGCGATCTCTGTGGGCTGGGCCGGTCGATGCAGGTTCACTTTGGCAAGCCATCATGGTAACTGATGAAAGGGCCGACCCCAAATGTTGGTGACCCACCAGAATGGTAGAACAATTTGGGGGCCAGAGCGGCCTTTCCCAAGTTTAGGTCGGGAGACGACCAGCCCCGAAATGACAGTGATGGCGCGGATTTACAAAGCTCAGCTTTATACATTCCAGAATGAGTACGCTGGGTTGCTAGGCTTTTGAGGTTGGGAGGTCCGAGGACAGGTTTAAGGCTGCGCCTGTCTCTTACCTGGGGGTCCGGTGACAATTGCAAAACACACGTTTACTGCAGATTCCAGTCTCATGGCGCGTTCTTGTCGGCATGTGTCCCAGAGTGAAGGCACTGTGTTTCCCGCACATCTGTAGGACATCCCATCTTCTCCATTTGAATCAGCATTGCTGGAGCTTCCTTTGAGATTTTGACGGGGGGGAACAAGACTTTATTTTAGGGGTCCCTGATTAAAGGCATGTTGGTGGCCCCTGGATTGTGGGATTGATTGTGGGCAGTTTTTAAACAAGAGACATGTAGAACATTTGAGTTTGGGGAAGCTGAACATTTTGCATGTTGTGAAGAGCAGGCCCAAATCAAACGACAAAGCCTAAAGCTTCGCCAGCATCACCTGGGCTGTCCTTATTTAACGAGATAAGAGGACATTGCGCCGGCCGTTTTTCCCGAAAGCATCGCAAAGGGTTCTTCCGTGCGGAGCCCTTGGACAAGTTACACAGACAAGTTGCACAGAGCCAAGTTACTTAGAGCCAAGTTGCATAGAGCCAAGTTACATAGAGCCAAGTTACATAGAGCCAAGTTACATAGAGCCAAGTTACATAGACATAGAGCCAAGTTACATAGAGCCAAGTTACATAGAGCCAAGTTACATAGAGCCAAGTTACATAGAGCCAAGTTACATAGAGCCAAGTTACATAGAGCCAAGTTACATAGAGCCAAGTTACATAGAGCCAAGTTACATAGAGCCAAGTTACATAGAGCCAAGTTACATTACATAGAGCCAAGTTACATAGAGCCAAGTTACAAGTTAGAGCCAAGTTAGAGCCAAGTTACATAGAGCCAAGTTACATAGAGCCAAGTTACATAGAGCCAAGTTACATAGAGCCAAGTTACATAGAGCCAAGTTACATAGAGCCAAGTTACATAGAGCCAAGTTACATAGAGCCAAGTTACATAGAGCCAAGTTACATAGAGCCAAGTTACATAGAGCCAAGTTACATAGAGCCAAGTTACATAGAGCCAGTTACATAGAGCCAAGTTACATAGAGCCAAGTTACATAGAGCCAAGTTACATAGAGCCAAGTTACATAGAGCCAAGTTACATAGAGCCAAGTTACATAGAGCCAAGTTACATAGAGCCAAGTTACATAGAGCCAGGTGGCACAGAGCCAAGGTTAGGTAGAGCTTGCGTAGAGCTTCGGCGTAAGCAGCTATGTAAGTTAGTTTAGGTTTCTAAGGCGCCGGGGCGAGTTTGATCATCGCTCGGGATTGCGACCCTCTGCGGAGATCCGCGTGGTCGATATTGAAAAACTGAGGACTTTTCACGATTTCTGCAAGCCGCGCGCGACCCTCTGCGGAGATTCGCGTGGTCGAGGTCAAAAAACTGAGGACTTTTTACGATTTTTAGCATGCGCGCGCGACCCTCTGCGGAGATTCGCGTGGTCGAGGTTAAAGAACTGAGGACTTTTTACGATTTCTGCGGTGCGCGCGCGACCCTCTGCGGAGATTCGCGTGGACGAGGTTAAACAACTGAGGACTTTTTACGATTTCTGCAAGCCGCGCGCGACCCTCTGCGGAGATTCGCGTGGTCGAGGTTCAAAAACTGAGGACTTTTTACGATTTCCGCGGTCCGCGCGCAACCCTCTGCGATGATCCGCGTGTTCGAGGTTAAAAAACAGGACTTTTTACGATTTCTGCGGCGCGCGCGCGACCCTCTGCGGAGATTCGCGTGGTCGAGGTTAAAAAACTGAGGACTTTTTACGATTTCTGCGGTGCGCGCGCGACCCTCTGCGGGGATCGTGCGTGTCGAAGCGCTCTCGCTGTGGCGCCGTGCGAATTTGTTGCTCAAGCCCACGGTCGCGGGCTCGATTCCCCCCTGGTCCGCGGCAGCTCCGGCTTGAAAATAGAAGTACAAACGTAGTACGCGGAGCGTGCTCCTGCAGCTCCGGCTGGAAAATCGCAACTTTTAAGTACAGACGTAGTATGCGGAGCGTGCTCCCGCAGCTCCGGTTGGAAAATCGCAACTTTTAAGTACAGACGTAGTATGCGGAGCGTGCTCCCGCAGCTCCGGCTGGAAAATCGCAACTTTGAAGTACAAAAATAGTACGCAAAGTACATTCCCACAGCTCCGGCAGCACTTGCGCAGAGCAACTTGCGCAGAGTCACTTGCGCAGAGCAACTTGCGCTCTGCGAATTGCACAGAGCAGTTGCACAAAGCACTTGCGCAGAGCAACTTGCTCAGAGCATTTGCGCAGAGCAACTTGCACAGAGCACTTGCGTGCAGCAGCTTGCAGAGAGCAACTTGCGCGCAGCAGCCTGGAACAATGCAGCTTGCGCAGACCACTTTCGTGAGAAATCGCGCGGCGCAGTTCGAGAGGAAACTAGGATGATGAGATGGAGCTCTCATGTGACCATACACATTGAGCATCGCCGCGCGCAGACACGCTCGCCGCAGCGATGTAAAAAGGTGTCTCCGCGGCTGGATGAGCACCTGGGAAAATGCTTTCGGGCCAATCGTCCTCTAGTTTGTTTTGCTAGGCGAGGCAACAAGACTTTATTGTAGGAGGCCCCTGAAGTACATTACCTCCGCTGCTCTCCAACGAGGCTGATTCTCACTCGCACACACAGAAGAGCCATTGTTGGGACCTTGCGCATGTGGTCGTATTTGCTGGACAGTGGCCGTGGACAGCCGGATTGTTGTTCAGCAACATGTTGACAAGAGCTGCATAATCCCGAATGTCAGTGTCATGCGGCCGAGGCCATAGAGACAGAAATTGCTTGTCAAAACGGAAGAGACGTTTCGCCCACATAGACGTGGCTGGGAGCCACTCGCGTTCCCAAACGTACAGCCAAACATGCCCTCGTAATCTTTTTGCTTTGGCTTGCAGGCTGATTCCGAGGTGGAGGCTGGCTTGATGATGCGTTCCCCCTGGAAATGTTTGGCCTCTCAGTATCCAAGTATACAACCAAAAACAACACAGTGCAGCCGCTTGAATATGGACGTGTTTGTCACAAACCTAGGAAGCAGTCCGTGTTGCAAATGCACTGATTGTGGATTGTGCTGGTTGTGCGTCTCCTTGGATTTGCTGCCGTCTATGCTAAGGAAAGGGCTTCTTTTGCATTCACACTCATTGCAGTTGTCTAGTCAAAAGTCGTGTTATAGCCGGTTTCGTGTTCATGCCTTAAGACATTGGAGGGGAAAGGGTTCAGCAAAACAAACAGAAACGGAATCCCCCTGCTTGAACAACCTTCGTGTTCTGTTCTAGTTGCGTGAGTTGGTTTCCGGTGAGTAAAAAGACGACTCAGCACAGGTTGGAGGCAACTGAGATGCTGGCAGAACAAGGTAAGCAGGCTTTCGGTTGTGTCCTTTTAGTCGTCATTGGGTGCTTCGTTCTCATGACCGCCGAAGGGGTTGAACTTGCTGAACAAGTAGGGGGTTGTTGGGTTTTTCTTTGGGTTCCATGCAATCGGCGCTGAAGGTTCTACCCGGTTGCCTGTGGCCATTGGACAGAGATAGTTATTTTGGATTGAGATGGAACAGGGCTTGGGTTTAGTCGAGAGTTGATGGCGCCTTTTGGCGGCCGAGAAGGCTCCAACTCACACTGGTAGATGTGTTGGAGGAGACACGACTCATTCTCCCATCCCCATCAACCAACCCAGAAGTCAGAATCTGCTACTGTTGATTCCTTTTGTATTTTTTTGGCTTGAGCATGCTTTAAACCAGTCACAGCCTCTTTTCCCGTTTTTTGGTGGGAATCTTTGCTGAACTAAAACTTGGTGCTGCCCGCAACCGGCTTGTCAGGAGTGGCTCTTTGGTGATGCAGGCGGACACCTGGCTGGCCCCGTGAAAGCAAGGATTTGGATTTTGGAGACCGCCCAGAACCTCCACCATTTTTGCTGAACCTCCCCTTGACTTTCAGCTGGGGAAAACAATGCAAACTGTCGGAACGGGAGAATGGAATAGCGTATTGTGGCACCTGTGTACGATAATCAGGATGCGCCCCTTCCGCTCTGTTTGGGGTAGAACCAACGCCTTTCAGGGTTGGTATGGTGGTTGCAGAGCAAAGCCCACCGCCCTGTCCCTCACTCTCCTAGCTCCTCCTCCTGCGAAGGGCCTGGACACCCAACAGGCGTGCGATCCCTACAGCGACAAGGCTCATGCAACCCAACTCCATGCAGGGCCATGCTGAGGGAAGAAACAACTACCGACGCGCTGTTTCTATACGTTTGCGCCCGCTGGAAAGTGAAGAATCTAGCAAAAAGGCAGCTTTCAACGGATTTGGCCAACCGAAAATAAAGCACTACACACAAATCACACAAAGTCAAAGGCCGACTATACGAACCCATATGCGAACATCGTTTTGAGGGATTGGAAGGGTCAACGATTTCCCCCCTGCACCTTTTAGTCCAGTACGGGGCAAGCTGATAATGCGAGCTCCAGGTGTATAAACCCCTCGTCTATTGGCAAATCAATAACTACAGTTGAGGGGATATACCTTTCATATAGTCATATAGAGGTCGTGTTGTCCAGCAGCTTCAATTTGCGTGTGGAAACCATCTTGGAAGAACCAGCCCCTCGACTCTAGGCGATTTGGATACGAACAGCTTGCCGGATCAGAACGACCTCAAGTCCGAGGCAGAGGCCCGGAGCCCACTGCGACAGCCCAAGGCGACTGCGAGTCTGTGTTTGTTTGCTTGGCTCCCGCAATCTACGAGTTCCAAATTGAGGGAGCCCTCATGGCAAGGGAAGGAAACCCAAAACCGGATCCCATTTTGAGGGTCACCCTTTGATGAGCCCCCGAAATCCGAAACCGTCCATTCTGCAAGGAAGCCCGCTTTTCCACAATTTGTGGGGGGCCGCCCCTTTGGAGTGGTTAATTCTATTTGGTTGGGTTTTGTTTGGTCTTTTTGCTCACCTTTTTGGAGCGTCAATTCGGTTGAAAGGGAACAACTCATTTTAAGGGCAAAATGATTCGCTTACAGTTTACATGTTGTCGATACATAATAATATCAAATATGTGTTTAAACCATAGTAATTAACAGTATGATTGTTCAGACTATGCATCATTATAATTTGTTTATGGTGTATCTATCATTCAACCAAGTCGAACCTTGTAAGCGTCTATTATTTATTGGCATTATACAAAGATACATGTTCAATTACACGTGTTCTCAAGAAGGCTCATTTGAGCGAACCAAAACTCGGCGCTGCCCGAGAAACGGTTCAAACATGGGGTTCGTATTCCCAGCTTTGCCCGGAGGGCGTCAGGGAAGGCAAGGCTTACCCTTTCTTGTTGACTGATGTTGAAGGGGCCCGTCCAAAACAAAGGGACAAAGTGTTTGCACATGGGTTCATAGATTGAGCCTTTGACCTTGTGTGTGTATGCTTTGTTTTTTTGGAATGGCCAGGGAAGCCTGTTCAAATTGTTTCGAATGCTTCAATTTCCAGCGGATGCAAACTTTAGAGCCTCCGGCTCAGTCCGCCGACATTGTCCTCTCCCTTTTCTCCCTTGTCTCCCTGGTGTGTTCTGTCGTCCTCTCTCCCTCCCTCCGCTCCCCATCCTCCCCATCCCCCCAAGCCACTCTCTCCCCAATCTCCCTCTCTCGTATGTATGTATGTATGTATGTATGTATATGTATGTATGTATGTATGTATGTATGTATGTATGTATGTATGTATGTATGTATGTATGTATGTATGTAATGTATGTATGTATGTATGTATGTAATGTATGTATGTATGTATGTATGTATGTATGTATGTATGTATGTATGTATGTATGTATGTATGTATGTATGTATGTATGTATGTATGTATGTATGTATGTATGTATGTATGTATGTAATGTATGTATGTATGTATGTATGTATGTATGTATGTATGTATGTATGTATGTATGTATGTATGTATGTATGTATGTATGTATGTATGTATGTATGTATGTATGTATGTATGTATGTATGTATGTATGTATGTATGTATGTATGTATGTAATGTATGTATGTATGTATGTAATGTATGTATGTATGTATGTATGTATGTATGTATGTATGTATGTATGTATGTATGTATGTATGTATGTATGTATGTATGTATGTATGTATGTATGTATGTATGTATGTATGTATGTATGTATGTATGTATGTATGTATGTATGTATGTATGTATGTATGTATGTATGTATGTATGTATGTATGTATGTATGTATGTATGTATGTATGTATGTATGTATGTATGTATGTATGTATGTATGTATGTATGTATGTATGTATGTATGTATGTATGTATGTATGTATGTATGTATGTATGTATGTATGTATGTATGTATGTATGTATGTATGTATGTATGTAATGTATGTATGTATGTATGTATGTATGTATGTATGTATGTATGTATGTATGTATGTATGTATGTATGTATGTATGTATGTATGTAATGTATGTATGTATGTATGTATGTATGTATGTATGTATGTATGTATGTATGTATGTATGTATGTATGTATGTATGTATGTATGTATGTATGTATGTATGTATGTATGTATGTATGTATGTATGTATGTATGTATGTATGTATGTATGTATGTAATGTAATGTATGTATGTATGTATGTATGTATGTATGTATGTATGTATGTATGTATGTATGTATGTATGTATGTATGTATGTATGTATGTATGTATGTATGTATGTATGTATGTATGTATGTATGTATGTATGTATGTATGTATGTATGTAATGTAATGTAATGTAATGTAATGTAATGTATGTATGTAATGTATGTATGTATGTATGTATGTATGTATGTATGTATGTATGTATGTATGTATGTATGTATGTATGTAATGTATGTATGTATGCAATGTATGTATGTATGTATGTATGTATGTATGTATGTATGTATGTATGTATGTATGTAATGTATGTATGTAATGTATGTATGTATGTATGTATGTATGTATGTATGTATGTATGTATGTATGTATGTATGTATGTATGTATGTATGTATGTATGTATGCATGTATGTATGTAATGTATGTATGTATGTATGTATGTATGTATGTATGTAATGTAATGTAATGGTAATGTATGTATGTATGTATGTATGTATGTATGTATGTATGTATGTATGTATGTATGTAATGTAATGTAATGTAATGTATGTATGTATGTATGTATGTATGTATGTATGTATGTATGTATGTATGTATGTATGTTGTAATGTATGTTGTATGTAATGTAATGTAATGTAATGTAATGTAAATGTAAATGTAAATGTAAATGTAAATGTAATGTAATGTAATGTAATGTAATGTAATGTAATGTAATGTAATGTAATGTATGTAATGTAATGTAATGTAATGTAATGTAATGTAATGTAATGTAATGTAATGTAAATGTATGTATGTATGTATGTATGTATGTATGTATGTATGTAATGTATGTATGTATGTATGTATGTAATGTATGTATGTATGTATGTATGTATGTATGTATGTATGTATGTATGTATGTAAATGTGTATGTAATGTACGTATGTATGTATGTATATGTGTATGTATGTATGTATGTATGTATGTATGTATGTATGTATGTATGTATGTATGTATGTATGTATGTATGTATGTATGTATGTAATGTATGTATGTAATGTATGTATGTATGTATGTATGTATGTTGTATGTATGTATGTATGTATGTATGTATGTATGTATGTATGTATGTATGTATGTATGTATGTATGTATGTATGTATGTATGTATGTATGTAATGTATATGTATGTATGTATGTATGTATGTATGTATGTATGTATGTATGTATGTATGTATGTATGTATGTATGTATGTATGTATGTAATGTCTGTAATGTAATGTAATGTAATGTAATGTATGTAATTGTAATGTATGTAATGTAATGTATGTAATGTAATGTAATGTAATGTAATGTAATGTAATGTAATGTAATGTAATGTAATGTAATGTAATGTAATGTAATGTAATGTAATGTAATGTAATGTAATGTAATGTAATGTAATGTAAATGTAATGTAATGTAATGTAATGTAATGTAATGTAAGCAAGTAATAAAAATGTAATGTATGTATGTAATGTATGTATGTAATGTAATGTAATGTATGTATGTATGTATGTATGTATGTATGTATGTATGTATGTATGTATGTATGTATGTATGTATGTATGTATGTAATGTAATGTATGTAATGTAATGTATGTATGTATGTCCATGTATGTATGTATGTATGTATGTATGTATGTATGTAATGTAATGTAATGTAATGTAATGTATGTATGTATGTATGTATGTATGTAATGTATGTATGTATGTATGTATGTATGTAATGTAATGTATGTATGTATGTATGTAATGTAATGTGTTGTATGTGTATGTATGTATGTATGTATGTATGTATGTAATGTATGTAATGTATGTAATGTATGTAATGTATGTAATGTATGTATGTATGTATGTAATGTATGTATGTAATGTATGTATGTATGTAATGTATGTATGTATGTATGTATGTATGTATGTATGTATGTATGTATGTATGTATGTATGTATGTATGTATGTAATGTATGTATGTATGTATGTATGTATGTATGTAATGTATGTATGTATGTATGTATGTATGTATGTATGTATGTATGTATGTATGTATGTATGTATGTATGTATGTTGTATGTATGTAATGTATGTAACAATGTAATGTAATGTAATGTAATGTAATGTAATGTAATGTAATGTAATGTAATGTAGTATGGACAAATGTGTTTGCACATGTATGGTTGTATGTATGTATGTATGTATGTATGCATGTAATGTATGTAATGTATGTAATGTATGTATGTATGTAATGTAATGTAATGTAATGTAATGTAATGTAATGTAATGTAATGTAATGTAATGTAATGTAATGTAATGTATGTATGTAATGTGATGTAATTTAAAGTGATGTAATGTGATGTTGTGTAGTGTAATGTATGTATGTCTGTATGTCTGTCTGTATGTATGTCTGTATGTATGTCTGTATGTATCCTTGCACTTCCCCTTTGCTCCCCAGTATTTCCCGCAAAAAACACTGTTTTTCCAGCGTTTTCGCAAAGATGATGTCCAAAAACACAGAGTTTTTCCAGATTTTCGGCAAAAGGATGCAGGAAGCCCAAGCCAGCAAAAAAGCCGGCAGGGGGAATCGAGCCTGGGACCCCTGTTTTGCGACACCGGGTCCCCGAAGACTACGTTTAGTGGAACGTCATCAAATTGCCGCGCGGTCCCCCCCACGTATCAGACGTCGGGTGGGGGGGGGTTAGGGGGGGGGTTATCCTCTATCCTCTCTTAGGTGTCCGACACGCCGAGCAATGTCGGCGGACATATACAATCAGAGCATCAGTAGCTGTTGCTTCCCCAGGAAATCACCTGGGGCTGGTTCATTTTCCTATTATGGTTGTTCTTGTTTATGTGCTTGACGATGTCGTTGTCAGTTGTCGTTGTCAGTTGTCAGTTGTCGTTGTCAGTTGTCGACAAAGGACGTGACCAAAGACGTGACAACAGACGTGACTAGACAGGCGACGATGAATGTGAGAAGAGGAGAGCTGTGACGAGAAGACGTGACGAGAGAT